GCTTTGTAGACAGAAAATTGAAGAATATTCAATTTTTTATATTTATAGATAATAAAAAATCACAACTCATTCAAACAGCTGGTGTGAACCAACTTATCATCAAACGACGATAAAAATTGACATATAAATGGTTATCAGTACGACAATTTGACCAAAATATTTTTGTTCAGAGATATCTCCAATGTAGGTTATTCCATTAACAACTTTTTATTACTCTATGAAGAGGTTGTAAGCAGTTGATTTGCTTTATCTGTATAAACAACTGTTTAAAAAAGAAAAATTTTTTTTGAATAGTATTTATATTATTATTTATTTAAATAAAATTTTTGCTTCAAAAAAATTGCAGCTAAATAATTATAATAATAATTTAATTATTCATGATTATAAAATAAATTCAAAGCATAGTGCATTAATATTAAATAAGAATAAACAAAATCGTGTTAGTGACAGAGAGAGAGAAAAAGGTGTAGATATTATACTGATTTATAACTTATTAGAATGAATAGCTAAGATATTAAGAATTTCATGACTATAGAGTTCTTTTCAGCAAATTTGTTTCAACATTTGTTGTGTTAGCCTTGATGTTATTGATATGATTCTAGATGCCTACTATGACACTAGTTACCACAGATGACATCAAACAAAAAAAAGATAAATCGTGCCATTAACTGTTTCCCTTTATAGATTATACCCTATCTCTGTTACTCCTGTCAGTCGATTTGAGTCTACCCTTCCTAAAACTGTGTAGGGAATCGTGATATAAATAGGTCCTTGAGTTACATCACAATTTATAGGTAGTTTATTTTTTGATTATTATTAAAACGCACACATCATCCCATTTGATTAATGCTAATCTCTTAGATGAAGAAAATATATTTTATACTTGTGCCATTTAGTTTAAAACATCCTATATATAAGAAAAGTGATAGTGCAGAAAAGTATAAGTGCAGTGACGTTGTAATTAAGACCAATTATCAGTTAACTAAATAGTAGCATTAAGATAGTAGCAGTAAGAGTTTAGCTTTGATTTTTTCAGAGTCAGACATACGCACTATTAAATCGATTTATATTATTGCACTGATCAGGAATATATGCTATGTAGTATCATTTAGTTACTTTTCGTCACTTTTGTTCCTACTTTACAAGGAAATTACAGTGTAAGTAAATACATTAATATTTCTTTAATATTGTTTAATATGTCAGAATATGTTTATTATATATAAAAGAAATTTAAATATATTAAGTGCTACTATATTGCATATATAAATCTGT